GGATACCCGGTGAAAGCGCTGCTACACATCTAGTCCACGAAGGGGAGAACCTCACGAGCAACATGCATGAAGCAAAAGGCAGGGCAGCCTTGTGCAAGGGGCACTTCTCGCAGTCCTCGCCACGAGCTTGGAAGTGTGATGGGCAGTACATGCAGTAGCTTCCTGTCTCCGACACCTCGACGTCATCGCCGTAGTGCTTGTCTGGGACCTGCTGTGGAAAGAAGCAGCCGCAGCGTGCGGTGGTGCCATTCAGCAAGGCCGTTTTCTCGCAGTGGAGACTTGGAGGGCTCACTGCGCGAAGGCCAGCGATTGCTGAAGCAAAGGTCACGCCCTGGGCACAGGCAGGGCAGGACACCTGCACAGTTTCGGCTTCAAAGCTCGGGGCGGTCAGCAACTGGATCTCATGGATGGCTTCCAGGTACTCGACAGTGATGTTCCGGAGGCGAGTGTGTGCTGTGGTCTTTGCAACAGCCGCTTGCGACCTCCTGAAGTGCACATGCGCGATCTCCAGGGTCTCGTTGCCGCAGGGCTCCACGGACAGCAGCGCAGAGGAGACGCCCATGCCAACCAAAGCGCCCTCCAGGCGGAGCGACGGAAAGTCCACACCAGCAACATGCGTAGCGTGGCAGGAACAAAGCGCATTTTGCACGGAGATGCCCACCTCGGTGGCGGCGTCCAGCGACAGCGTGGACTGGTTCAGCAGCAAACAGCGGGATGCCAGGGCGCTCTTCCCCCAGAGGTTGTGTAGGTGAACTGCAGAATTCGCAAGGCGCAACGGCCCACCCACAAAGGCTCCGCTGCCAAGCACAGCGTCGGCTCCAGGCTTAGCCGGCTGAGCCATGCTGTCCAGGCCGGCAACCCACAGCTCCGAGTTCCAGGCCTCGAGCTTCTGAGCGAAGAAGCCGCCGCCCCGTTCTAAAGCACTGCCGGAGATGCGCACCTGAGCCCGAGACAGCGTCACGTCGTCAGCGTGGAAGCCGCCGCCATTGACGTGTGCCACGCACTCGGAAGCCTCCAGCATCGCGTCCGAAAGCTCCAGCTTGTGGGTGTTGAAACAGCCGCCACCCTTGCCTGCAACCGCCTGCACAATCCTCAGCTCAGCCTTCCGGAGATACGTTGCAAACATGGTCTTAAAACCTCCCCCGACTCTGCTGGCATTGGCGTTCCGGATGCTGACTGCGGAGTCCTCAATGCGCAGATTGGCTTGGGCATTGAAGCCTGCCCCATCCCCCCCAGCAGCTACATCGGCGAATGTTGCTTCGGACGCCGTGAGGATGACATCCTGAGCAAGAAAACCTCCGCCACTTTTTCGCGCTGTGCTGTTGCTGATGCGCAGCCTAGAAGCATTCACCACCAAGGTGTCCGCTTGGAACCCTCCTCCCGATTTCATCTCTGCAGCAGCTCCTGCCACCTCCAGGCTCGAGGCATGGATCTCCACTCGACCCAAGCAGACGAAACCTCCCCCCCGCGCAGCTGTCACGTCCTGCAGATCCACTGTGGAATTCTCGATGACCCGCAGGGTCGCCTGTGCGTTGAAGCCTCCGCCTTCTCCTGCTGCGCGGCACCGGGCAAGGTGCAAGGAGCTCCTTGAAATCAGCACATCGCCCATACTGTGAAAACCGCCTCCGAAGTCTGCTGCTGAGTCTCTGATGATGAGGCTCGAGTCCCAAACTGCAAAGCTTGCCGCAGCAAACGCACCTCCGTCACCATGAGCCCTGGCACCAGAGATGCTCAGCAGGGACTGATCGTACACCTCCACCTTGGAGGCTTGGAACCCTCCGCCATCCCTGCCGGCAGTGGCGCCGTCGATCAGGAGCTCCGAGCCCTTTGCAATGGTCACATTACCCTTCGCAAAGAACCCCCCTCCCAATGACACAGCCCGAGCGTTAGAGATTCTGATGCGGGATCCGCCGGTGACCATCACGAAGCCACTTGTGGTGAAGCCGCCTCCTTGATCCTCGGACGTGGTATCTGAAATCTCGATCACAGACCGGCTTGACACCTGCAGGCCCCCGATGCCAACAAAGCCCCCACCATCAATACCGGCTGTGGCATCTTGAATGCTGATGTTTGAGCTGTTGCTCACCTTCACGGCTCCACTAGCATAGAACCCTCCCCCGGAACCCTCTGCGGAGGTGTTACGCAAGAGGAGCAAGGACCCATCAGCTATGACAACAGCCTGAGCTCGAAAGCCTCCCGCAGAATCCAGGGCTCTTGCGTGCTCTATGCGAACGGCAGAGCTGCTGAGAACCTGCAAAAGTCCCAAGGTGAGCAAGCCCCCGCAATCGCCAAACAGCTCAGCGGATCCGCTAGCAAAGGCATGGGCGATTTGCAGAAGAGAACCGCCTGTCAGAACCACATCGCCCCAGGCGAAGACGCCGGAAGCCACAGCAGAAGAGACCCGCTGAATGCGAACGGTCGACCCGCCGGTGATACGCATGCTGCCCTTCGCGAAAACCCCAGCTGACGAGCCACGAGCAAAGCAGTCAGAGACATGCAGTGAGGAACCCTCTGAGATGAGGATTGCGCCCAATGAGGACACCGCTCCGTAGTCTTGCGTTGCGTGAGCGTGCTGGACGGTCACACGCGAGCCCTTCAGCTCCAGGCCATCAGGAACCGAGAAGCCTCCAATCATCCGACCGCGCACGTGAAGCAGAGTCATTGAAGAAGCATCCTTATCGGGAAATCGCACAGGATTCTGACATCTGCTTTCAGAATTTCATTCTCATGGAATCATGGAAGCACCCTGAGCCAGCGTCCAGTGTGAGGCCACCATGGATGAGGAACCCGCCAACAAAACCCACCATTTCGTTCAGTATGCCTCGAGTGACTGACAGTACAGCACTACAAGAGCTCTCAAAAGCTGGGAACCATTTGCAGAGACATGCTACGAAACACGAGTGTTGTCTATGACAAAAACTTTAAACCGGATTGTAGGTTGTACGAAATCTGACAAATGCCCAGCAACTGTCCTGTGCAGGGAGGTCCTCCCCTGCACGGCTGTCAATGATCTGCAGGTTCGAATGCAGCAACTTCCTCAGAGGGACCGCACGACCCTTCACTTGTACAAATGAATGAATTGTGAATACCTGCTGTGCTACCGACAATCTGTATGGATGTCCGCCGCCGATGCGCTGTGCAACCAAGCCTCGTCTCCCCAGCCATGAAACTGCCGAAACTGACGGCCGAGGTGCCTTCAACCTAAGGTACCAGAGAATGGGGGCCTCCACCCGGCCTGTACCCTAATCGAGTGATGTACTGCAAGCTTATGTCTAAGTGGCCGTGAGGTTGGACGCCTCCAGCATCATCTTGTCCTCAACGCAGAGGGCACCACACATTCTTCCAGCGCTGACATTCTGAATGTGCAGCATGGAGTCCTGGAAGCTGCAGCAACGCTTGGGAAGACTTTCAGAGCTGACTTCAGGTGGCTGAACATGAGGACAAATCAGTACCCCTCGCGCCATGACTGGCCAAATTTTACTCCGAATGTTTGCGCAAACTCCATGGTCCAAACAACATCAGGCTTTGTCGACTGCCCTGGGCGTGCAATGTCTATTTGGACTGGATGTAGGTCGGTTTGCATGACGTGCATGGACACCCCTATCGGATGCCCTGGCGGGCATTACAGTCGGACAGCCACATGCCTGTGACACCCATCAACGGCACTCAATTACTACATCCACGGGTTGCGGGCTGCATGGTTGTTCCGTTTGGCTTCATCCAAGGCACACCAAGGATGCCAAATGGCTCAGTAGCGGCGGATTGAGATGGGGCGGGGCAGTGGGCGAGAGTTTATTTGACGATACGACTAGGCTGCGTCAGCGGCAGAAACTCGGCACAAAGATCGTAGTTGGTTCTGGCCTGTGACTTTTCCTGGAGTACTGCAGTGTTCACTACTGTTAGCTAGC